GTAATAGTTTTATAATAATTTTTGACAGCTTAAATTTAGCTATTTTAAAGCATCTTACTATTTGCTTACTTACATTTCACTGGACATCCTATTCTTGTCCAGACATTTCCGGAAGTCTGACAACCTATAATTGGTTTACACATAAGTAATTTTAGGGATTACACTAAATAATAAACAACAAACTCTCTATCCCACTATAAAATAAGATTGTGCGAAAAAGATAAAATGCCTTTTTTGTTGTGGATATTACATCAATTTTTTATTTATTTTTCTTTTTCTTGGTGGCAAGTTCTTTTGATGTTTTCAGACAGAAGAAGCAGCTTTGAAGAAGATAATGCGCGGAAAATTGACATCGGAAGGGATTTATGTCGAAATAATGAGGCGTACATTCCTGAGGATAAAATGGCTTTCTGCGTGGGTTGAACTGAGATGGATCTTGTATCACTTTCAGCGAAAGGTTAAAAGTCCGTGATTTAGTGTGTTCTATTCATTTTGGGGGAAGGAATCACACGTTTGCCAGACACTTGTTATCCTGGAATTTTGTTCGATTTGTGATCTAGTCCATTTATTTGGATTTCATTGAAAGTCTATTTCTGAACAGCTTATTTACTATTTTGTGTGACGAGTAATAATTTTTAAATTGTACTGGACAATTATTTTAATTTTTCATGTAGTAATTTTTCAATTTTATAATATTGCATTCATATAGTTCCAGTGAGTTACATTTTGTAGTGTAAGAAAAAAGGAAACAAGACTGACGAACATAAAAATACATATTGTAGTGGTGTGGGCATGACACCCAGATTGTAACTGGGAGTGGTTGGGTTGAGATACTTGTGGCCCAGCTTGGAGAACTCAGTTTTATTTACACATCCACAAACATCACACAAATACAATACACTATTACGCGTTGGATACGCGAAATATATTTCCTCACCGCGTGAGAAGTTTCTAGGCCCATTAACATGCAGGATGGAGTTAACTATATCTCCTCAGGTGAGAGACTGCAAACTAATGGACTTGGAAACAACAACCGAACATCTTGGAAACGACAACTTAACATCTTGAAAACAACAACTTAACATCTTGAAAACAACAACTTAACATCTTGAAAAC